CGTAATTCGAAGCTTTTTCCAAAATGCGAGAAATTCGCGAATTTTGAAATTAATTTATAGAATGCGCGAATTTCTCGCGGTAATCATTTTTTAATGCGAGAAAAGAAAAAAATATGCGAGATTCTCGATATATATATATATAACTATTTTGTTTCATTGAGTTTTGTGGGGAATGCAAGTCCTATGTATTTTTACATAAGGTTAATGTAGCTATTTTTTTTAACCAATGTTTGTATAACTGTTTTCAATATCGTGTAAGTTGCTATTCGATTTCTGTTTTACCATATGTACAAGTACTTTGTCAATGGAAGAATGTACAGAGGCTCCCAATTTTTTATCAAAATCCTAAATGGTCACCCTTCTTTTAGCAGAAATGTCATACATTAGGTTCAGTAGCATTTGTAAACATATTTACCAATGAAAAACTAATTATTTTGAAAATATTTAAAGTTAAGAACAAAATTTTTTTTCTTTGTGTTATCTATAATACTTTTAAAATTAGATTGTATATCAGACAGCTGAATTCACAGGGCTTGAGTGGCATCTAGTCTATTTCTAAATTAGTTTTATGGTATATATGGAATTGCAGAAAATGAATAAAACAAGTTGAATTATAGTTTTCGTTTTAAACTTGAAAAGAAAAAGAACTGTTAACTAAACGTTGAGAAAAATTTGATATCAGAAAAATCAAACTATCCGATTAGCATAAAAATCTGAAATAAAAAGGTAGATGAAACTTTTTTCCTCTAAGTTAAAAAGTTCAGTGGGAATAATGTAATTTTTATAGACGCTTATCCTTTTCGTAATTTATTCAATGTATCGTTATTAGAATAAATGTATAAATGCTTTGCTAATTTCTTAAAAGTAACTAATATTTAATTATTGATTACGCATAATTTTTGAAATTTACAATTATTATTATAACGAGCTAAGAAAAGTTTGCATTCTCGGAATTCTATGATTCCACGGAACACTTTTTAGGAATTGTTGTGAAGTCAGCTGCTGTGGCGTGTTATCTAATTGTTGTAGATGTAGTTCATTTACGTCGCACTAGAGCTGCACAATGGGCTATTGGCGACGGTCTGGGAAACATCCCGGAGGATGATTCAAAGACATGCCATCACAATTTTGATCCTCTGCAGAGGGGATGGCACCCCCGCTTCGGTAGCCCGACGACCTGCACGACGAGCACTTTACGGTAGTACAGTTTAACAAGGACCAATACCGCACACTCTCGGTCCCTATTCAGATTAATCCAAGTGGTTACCCACCCGCACACTGACCCCAGCCAATGATGCTCGACTTCGGTGATCTGCTGGGAACCGTTTCTTAATGATCTGTCCACTTCGGGATGGGTGTTATCTAAAGATTTCGCTTTTGTTAAGTTTGATTTTTTACAAAAGTTAAGAAACCTTGTAGTGGTAGAAATACTTTTATTAGCTTCAGCATTACAACATTCTCTTTTCAAAAACAAGCATTCTAAGAGTATGTGTTTCCATTGTCATCTGCAAACTTTTCTTCAGCTTTGATCTGAAAAAATTTAAGATTTTTGAGTGTTCATAAATTTTTTTATAAAAAGGAATTTTTTTGAAAGGAGATTGCAGAGAATACCCATATAACATATGTTAAATTAAGTCTTACATATTTTTTTCCTGCTGTTGATTTTAGCTTTGTCATGCACATCAAATGGATCCAAATTTATCGCCTGAAAAAAAAAACAAGATTTTACTAAGGTTTCCCCCTCTCTGGGGATATTTCTATATCGGTACCTGTTTGCACCAACAACCTTTGCAAAGGTGCCAAAAAGGGCTTTTATGGATGGTGTTTTCTACACCAGGGAACGCTGCAAGCTCCATACCGCCTATACTTCTGGGTTACTGTTTCCGTTGTATTTTAAAGCCATTTGATTCACAACGTGATCATTGTGCTTTGAGATTCTTGCAAACGTGGTATATGATTACTTATTACTTGTGCTTACAATGCTAAAGGTGCTAACACTAACGTAAGATGGTGCACAGCTTGCAACAAGAACAAACAGTAATAAACAAATGGAAAGAGACCAAATCAGGACTGCCAAAAAAAGCGAGTTATTCAAAATCTAGCAACCATGTCACCTTTTTTTAACAATATATCTATCAATAACTAAAACAAATTTTCGCTTCAAACTCACCAGAATTACTTAATAACATTAATCTCTTATGAAATACGGCAGATTTGAGCTCAGAAATTATCTAATTTACTTCTTTTATTGAGAACTAAATTAACTTTTTAACCGGAACTAGAGCAGGTATTGAGCTCAAGATTGTTATTGTTTACAATTATATTGAAAACACCATCCATTTGCAGAAATTAAAAAAGAATAATAATTAGCCTTTCACCCTTGCGTGGCTACGTCCCTTTCTTTATTTTGCGTGCTACTACCTGGTTGACGCTAAACTTGGCAATATTTTTGGCGCTGATACCAATACCGAAATACACCTTTTCTATGAGACATAAAATATAAAACTTTTTTTTTAATTATTACAATTGAACAATTAAGGGGACAAATGAACTATTAATATTTTTAATGTATAGATACTGAACAATTTCATTTTCTGTGTTTACCATTTATATTTTATACCCGTCGTTGAACAGCCGACCCAATTTTGGATCTCTACTAATGTTCAACTCCGTAGCCTTGTAATTTTGAACCAATCCAGAAGACGAGGAAACTTCTGGATCAGTATCCCCAGAGGTTTGATTTGTTGTGGGAACATGGATGACTTTGCGACTCTATAGATTTAGCGTGTATCAGTCACCATTTACTACACAGGGAGTCTTAGGCCGACGGGGATCGAACCCGCGATTTCTGGGACATGCCGTACCAACCAGACTGTCCCAGCCTTTACCATTTATACGTCAAGTTTCGGAGTAAAAAATATTGGAAATAAGCATATTGTTATCGAAATTTTTAAAATTTTTGGGTACAAATAAGGTCTAGAACAAAAAAGTTACAAGAAATAAATTATAATTTTTACTGCGAGTTTTTTTTTTTTACTTTTTCTGTCACCTTTTCTTATAAAGATGTTTTAAAAATTCTGATCGAACTATTTTCTTCGCTTGCGTTTTTTTGTTCTGAATTCATCATATTGTTCTGCTTCTGGTGCTTTCATAGAGCTACGTAAATCCACGCACGATTGAAAAGTGTGAGGCAGAGGTCGGGTGATTATTACAATCATCAGCTGATCTAGTGCTTAATAATCGGTGATGTAAGAAGTGCGCGCATGCGCCGATTTCTTTGGTTAAAAGCAATTACTGCATGAATTTGAAAATATTCGGGATGTGGTTTCATACATCTGTTAAAGGTGATCATTACAATTCGAAAAGGCGATCAAAATGTTCTACAAGTGGCGTAGAGCAGAACTCTCTACCTATGGCAACACTTCGCATGCTTTCACCATTAGCGTGTGGACAGTCATAGGAGATGGAAGTACGATAGTTTCTGTCTTGATTTTAAATTAGATTAAAAACTTTTTAAGTTAGGAATCTATATGGAACTTAAAACTACATTGAGCATAGTTCACAAATAAAACGTCATGAAAATGTTAAAAAATATTTTTGACTGTTAAATTCGAAAAATATTAAGGGGAAAATATCGTAAAACATTACTATGTAAGGAAAATATCGTAATACAACTGAGAAGAGGAGGAGAGGGTCAAGGCATGGAACCGGTCTTCTCCCAAGATGGCGTTGCGATCGCGAAATCACTAATTTTAGTTATAACCATAAAGACAATTGAATCTCTCTTAGAAATGATGGGAAATTTTAAGCTCAGAAACACTTTACACAGAAAAGTTTTAAACATTCAATAAGTTAAATTTTAAAGAATAGGACTTTTTGAAAATGAAAATGTACCTAAGCAAATAATGACATATCGTACCTTTGTTTTTGTTCTATTCTTGGTTGAATGACAGAGGCAATATCGGAAATGCTTCGAGCTAAATCCAATGAGAGCGACAATAAAGATGCCCTGCCAAGAAAAAAGAATCTCAGAATAAAAAAATAAAAAAACATGCATTTCCCACTACTTAAACGGAATTGGAAAATCGTGATATCGAAAAAATATTTTTTAAGCTATATTTATGAGGCACTGAATTCAAATATGTTATTTAGTCTGAATAATTGAGTTATTCACCCAAACCTCAAAACGTTTTATATTGAAATAACAGAAAGAAAACAAAGATTGCCATGCTAATCTCAAGAATTGTATAAATCCACTGGTCAATGGTTTATAAAAATTTTTCGCCTATTATTTTGCAGCTTTTTTATTAGTGTATATATATATATATGTAATACAAAAATTAAATACTTTTGTATTAATAAAAGCAGTAAAACTTCTTTCTTTTTCATAAAATATCTTTAGTAAAGGATAAGGGTAGAAGTTCTATTTTGGGACTTCAAGNAGGAATACAGACATTTATCCTCATAAAATTTTAAAATAAGTTATGAAGTTCATCGAAAGATGGCGTTGTTGCATCCGACGGGACCATTTCCACTGATATATTTGCTCAGCCGTCAGTTGATTTTTCCTCAGACGTTATTACAGCAAAGGGCGATCATTTTAAAAAGTTTGTTTTATAGCGTTTCGTTGTTAGTCACGCTATCTAATAATGAATTTTGTTACTAATTTGCTAACTTAGTAAGAACATATTCTCTGGTTTTCGAACAAGACCGTAGTAAACCGTCTGTTTTTAGTTCCCCCCCTGTTCTTTAACAGATCTTTAGCTATTTGTGGGACAGCCGGTATAAATGTAAGAATAAACATAGTAGTTTATACCAGACAGGCGTTGAGTATCTGGAAGATGGGGTTGAAGGTTGGAATCTCATCGCCGTCGAATCCGAGATCGACGAGGGCAAACACACCACACAACCAAGTGCAAAGGAACAAGACGCTCACTATCAAATTCGCTCTCGTTGCTGAACTGAAGTGAAATAAAGGCATATCATTGTAATGTTTGAATTTATTATTTTCTCCTTTCATTATTATTATCTACAGAATCAAAAGATTATGCTTCTTTTGCAAGGAAAATTCTTGAATAATCAACTATTCTTACCTTAGTTCGTTGACAATGACAGTTTTCTTAACTGCTGGCGTTCCGTAATTGACACAAGTGAGCGTAGCAAATACAAGTGCTAGCTGTAAGAAATATAGATAATTAAATATGTATATATATATATATACAAGGTGCTCCGAAATGGCAACTTCTAATATATATATATATACGTATCTATAAAACTATTTACGCTTCTAACTCCATTAGCTGTTCTGTTTTCTTATTTTGTAATCTGGCAATCTTACTGCTAAAATATTTTAAATCATTATTGAAAGATTCCGGTACGTGTAAGTTCATTTGAATTCATTGAGAGGTGGTTGCCACTCAGTGGTAAAGTTTGCTACTCGTGGAGCATTATTTTCTAAAAGTTAAAAAAAATATTAATTTAATAATTTAAAAAAAAATTAATTGTCTATATAACGTTTCAAAGAACTTGAAGGTTTTTCGAACAAAAAAATGCCGCGCACTTTGAACATAAACCTCTATCTTTTGACTCCTTCAGTAAAGTGCTGCCATCTATTGTTCTAAATTACATCTAAATTGAATTTTTCAGCTATAGATTCGGGTTTGACAAAGAGATGAAGCGTAAATAAACTTCTCCATAGATAGATTCAGGTATAACAATACGATGCTCGGAAGAAAAAAAATACTCCGAGCGGGTATTTTTGGGCGTGACATTTTGGAACACCAGTGCTGTGCCCGAGATGATTTCGGGTATAATAGTTAAAAGGTTAAAACATTGTTTAATAGTTTTTCCAGTCAGCGGTGCCATCAGTTGAAGAGCTATCTAAAATTAGAAATCTAGTGAGAAATTATTCTCATTTCACAAAAGTGGAATGCAGCAAGCTGCCTTTTTTCATCCTCCGCTTTCTTACTTGATTTTTCATACTGTAGGTCATTTTTGAAACATTTGAAAATTCCATAGACTTTTATGGTATCCATATACATCACACTTGTACTTACCATAGTGGATATGAGTATGGGAGAGACCAAAAGCCATCGCATGCCTGCTGTGGGTCCTACAAGGCACCTGAGGAAAAAATGTAAAATTGATAATATGGAAGCATATATCCTGGGTGTATAATAATATTATTAAGCATCTTATATTTTACCTGTAGTCGTAACCATAATTGCGAACAACCATGAAACAACCACCGATCATACCACCAGGAATCACTGAAATCATATACAATGTTAAGCTAACGAACCACACATAATCAATTGAAGTTGCAAATCAAAGTAAAAACATTCACCTGTGAAATAACTCTCACCGATAATTTAAAGGTTGTCGAAATGAATAGTGGACGCGTGTGATAGCTTCACAGAAGTGATAACGGAAGGTAATCCCAGAAAGCATGTAACCTTACGACAACCTTGCGTCAGAATTTTACTTCTATTGTCACGAAAATGTTTGTGCTAAAAACCTTTTTTCAATAAAGCAAAAATATTGCGATTTCAAACCTTTCATCCTAAAAGAATTAACAATCATTTTTTAAAGCTTTTTTAAAAAGTAAAAAGTATTTAAAAGCTTTTTTCAAAAGTATGACGTTTTAGTTAAAGTCACACAAGCGATAGGATTGCATGGTCCATTGAAATTTCATGACGAGGTAGATTTTAGCTGAGCATACAAGACTTTGCGAAAAGATACCTTATAATGACCTAGATTTAAGATTATTTTCACCCTGAGATCAACTTTATTAAAGGATTTTTTCACGCTGCAAACCCTGCGTCAACCTCGATTTAAGGTTTTGGATTAGTATCATGTGCGTAGAATAGAGCAGATCTCGTTTGAAGGTTAGAAGGTTTACACGTAAATCGTATTACAAACCTCTTTAGGTTTGCATTAAAAGCTTTTTGCTGAGTAAAAATAAATCTTATTTTGCTTTCTGGGAAGGAGTAGAGTATCCATAGTAGTCTGGGTTGTCTTTGGTGGGATGTATGCCCCGAATGAGAACATGATACAAATTGGTAGAAAAACTTGAAATTTAATAAAAACATTTACAAGAATTAAAAATAAGATTTAAAGCATCTTTGTGCCGGACAAAGTTATCTGACATTGACTCGGAGCAAGTAAGATTCGATCCTACACTAAACTGGACAAGGCCTAAACTTAAATATACTTATTAACATACGTATCTATTCGTAAAAATAGTGTTTTGAGTGCATCACTTACAACCAAGCTAAAGGAAAGGAGTATGCAATGAAAAAAAGGAGTATTTGCTTTCGAAATTTTTTTAAAACTTATTATAAATTTTTTTTTTTACTGAAGTGACATGCAACTCCGATTCAGCCACTGTTCTTTGTCTGCCAGTTTTCATAAAAAAAATATAATTCTCGGGGATTAGGAAGAGGGATGAACTTACCCCATCCTATCAAGAGATGAAAAGTGAACATTCCCCCGAACGATCCATTCACAAGTCCCGAAAAGAGGGCGCTCGATTCTGCCGTCAACCAAGCACCCGTTGCAGTGTAAAAGAAATGAACCAGAATTGACAAAATGCGGCAGTTCTCCTAAAAGAAGAAGAAAAAAATAGCGAGTACAGAACATTAATGGGTGCTATTTTTCAGGGTAAAATTAACAGTCGCTACTGGCAACAAAGCAACTAAGCATAAAAAAAGATGATTAAAGAATTTTTTTATTTTTATTAAGTGCCACCGGATCACCATTTTTTTTCTTTATGTTTTTATGCAGAAAATGCAACCCATGTACTCCAAAACACGTCTTTCAATTTTTCGTATTATATATTACGTGGGGGGGGAGCTGTATAAAATCCCCGGTCATTTTATACGCTGATTCAAAATTTCAGGGGAACTGAATTTAATTTGTAAGGTTTCATAGGAGTTAAAGTTAATTGAATATCACTTTTTTTTAATATATGGTCGATAATATTTAAGATTAATCTAGCTATTATATCATCATTACGATATTGTTATTAGTTCAGATTTATTTTGTAACAAATGATATTTTTTTTTAATAATAAACATAAATTGTTTTGTTGCATTATTGACTTAGGAAGTGATACCTTAAATTGTAGAGGAAAACGTTAAATGCAATACTTGAAATAACCCACAAACTTATTTGAAGAGGTCAGGAAAATGTTATTATTGTTATTACTTTAGAAACGAACCTTGTAGTGGTGAGCATGTTTCGAGAAATGCTCAAAAAAAAAAAAAAAAANAAAAAAAAAAAAAAAAAAAAAAAAAAAAAAAAAAAAAAAAAAAAAAAAAAAAAAAAACGCTGTACAGTGTGTTACATACATTTGAAGTCTTGTGTGCTTTATTTCCACTTATAAGCCTTTGTTAAATAGAAGGACAGATAGAACAATACAAAGAAGAACAGCAGGAAGATACATGCAGGATAACAGCGGGATTCGAACCCGCTACCTCCACGCTTTAATGTTAATGGATGTGATCTATCTCTCCCATGAATGCTTTCTTCACCTACCTTACTGTAAAATTTTTCTGAAAATCTATGATGAAATTTAGCTTTCGGAAAATAATTACTTTTTGATTAGATAAATATTCAGTGTAAAAATTTTCTGTAAAAAAAATTAAAAAAAGTTTATGTAAAGAGCCATGTGTTGGTATATATTGGTTTTAAAACCAGATAAGATATGTTAGAAAACTGGCTGTGAAGATATAATAGATCAGAAGAAAGCTACCATGATCCTTTACTAACTTTAATCTGGACAATTTTTCCTGCATAATTTACTGAAAATTTTGAATTATACTAGCAATAGATGTAACTAACAGTAGATTTCAGCCAGCTTGAGAAAATAGGGTGCAATGAAAAACATGTTTAAAGCTTACGAACAACTTTAATTGTTGTTAATGAACTTGATTTCTTCTTAAAATAAAGACTTCTTATCAGTTTCTATCCTTTGATATTTTACTTTCACAGAACAAGGAGGAACGACATTGCTATTCTTTATCATCATCATAGTTGGACAGACAGCCCAATGTGGACCAATGACTTCCTCCGAAAATTTCTCCATAATGACTTCCGATTTATCTTTGATCTCCAATTCTTTTCATTAATTGCAAAAAAAAATAAGACTCCACCGAGTTAGCCCATCTCAACCGCGGCCTTCCCCGCTTTTTTGTTTCAGTGGGTTTAAAAAGCAGCATCTTTTTTACTATATTGTCATCACTCATTTGAATCATATAGGTCATCCAACTCATTCTATTAATTTTTATGTATTTAGTAAAATCGAGTTGTTTATAAATCTTGTACAGTTCAAAGTTAAATCTCCTTCTCCAGTTATTGTTTTCATTTACACCGTCAAGTATAATCCGCAAAATCTTTCTCGCAAATATTATGATAAAATTTTCTTCCAGTTTTGTCATTGTCCAAGCTTCAGAAAGGTATGTCAAGACTGGTCTGGGCAAGAGATTTGTAAACTAAGAACTTTGTTTTTCTAGAAAGAAACCTAGATTTAATAAATCTTCTCAGCCCATAGACCAGATATATTTGCCAGATAGAGTCGGTTTTTTTCAGGAGTTATTCTGTTCTTATTCTTTATAATATACTATTATTTAAAAAACTCAACCAAATATTTGTGTGTTATACTAGTCTTATCCAATCGCAGGAAACGAAAAGAGTTTTTCAAAACTGACCTATAAGAGTAAAATTATTACGGAGGCCATATGGGACGCTCTACTAAATTAGCTATTTTTAAGAAACTATTATGAATGAATATATGCATGAATATGAAACATTATTATGAATGAATTGATAAAATGTGCGTAACTCACCTCTTCCTCGTAAAAGAAGGGGGATAGAAAGAAAGAAACGAGACCTCCCAGCGCTGCAACGGCTAGATTTAAGCGAATGATGTGGAATTGCTCATGCAGAGTTCTGAAAGAATGAAAAGAAGTTATTTCGATTTCACTAAATGATTTTATTTTATACCCTGTGTTGAGCAGCTGACGCCCTTTTAGCTTTGAGACTATTAGTGTTTTGATTCCGAGGTAGGTATGTCGGTACTTTATTTACGTCGCACTAAAGCTGCGCAATGGGATATTGGCGACGGTCTGGGAAACATTCCTGAGGAAGACATGTCTTTGCAATTTTGATCCTCTGCAGAGAGGATGGCTCTCTGCTTTGGTAGCCCTACGATCTGCTCGTGAAGTCAAGCTACTTTATGGAAGAACAGTTACAGCAAGTAAAGCAAAAACATTTTTAAAATTCAGTTATCGGAAAACAATAGAGCTCGAATAGTTATTATCTGCCAATGTAAGAGACTAACAATTTTACCCTTTATGTATTGAGCACATCTTAAATGGAACAAAGAAAATGATCTCGTTTTGAAAGCTCAAACTTTTATACGAGTATATTCCGAGAAAGGAGTGATTTCGTAAGATGGACATTACCAAAACCCTAATTAGTAATAGACGAGCCACTACCCTGTTCGGAAAACTGCCGATGGGCAGATATTTAATTCACACCGTTTTTTTTCCTTCTTTTCAACAATCTGCTTTTACCAACACCTAGATTGGTGTATATGCTATACCACTGAAATCAAGAGAATGTCGGTGAATGTCGACAATCACGTAGTCCCTTTGGTGAATGTCCGAAGAATTATTTATATCCGATTTGGTATAAATAATTCTCATTCCTGATTAATTTATTCGTTGGTATTATTATATTTGTGTGATATTTTAATATCTGCTGAGAATAGATTAGGAGAAACATCAGTGTTCGGAGTACCGGTTAAATGCATACCGGGCAGTGGCAATGAACCTTAAAAAACATTTGCTGTAGGGCATACCGTGCAAATGCATACTGGCCTTTAACTAGACCCGTATGCATTTCGGACATTTACCAAAGCAAACTATGTGATTGTGAACATTCACTGGTGGAAGTCAACATCCACCAATTTCTGTCATTCACAATAACATAAACATTGACAGTAAAAGAGTTGTTTCTTGTAGCAGATCATTATTAAGTCAATCATTCAAAATCTTTCGCCTTTTATAAGAGATCTTCTTATCTTAAAACAATAAAAATAAATAATCGAAAACGATTGGGATAAATTAAATGAAATAAAAACAAGTAAAATCTTTTTGAATTTTATCTCTTAACTAATAAACTTCTTAATTATTAATAAAGTGTTTTTGGTAAAATAAATTAGGGTGGGCTATGTCCCCCTCCGTGAGCACACCTTCGTTGAGGACTGTTAATTCGTATACGTATTGTATTTGATGTATGTTTTGTATTGCTTAAATACGTCAATTTGTACAGACAGTATTCCTAAATTTCGAAATCCAACACAAATTGTAAACATTAAAAATAATGTAATTTACCTTTTGAATAAAATGACTGCAATGTAAAATATAAGCATTGCAAATGATAAACCATAGCAGATCCATTTAGCTAGTTTCACCCATTCTGGCTCAGGCGGAATGTCCTACAAATAATAAAACAGAAAAGTTTCATTGTAATTTTCGATATATATTACGAGGGCCATCCGAAAGTAAGGGCCGTTCGCAAATAAATTTTCAAGAAGCAAATTCGTAGCATTACATTTTCTGGCATATTGTATTTAAAAACACATTTTTTCGTTCATAATTTACGAACGGTCCTTCAAACCTCGGAAAGCTTTAAATCTTATTTAAACCTTAAGCTATAAAATAATTTTCAAAATGCGTATTTCTTATGAAAATTGAAAAAAGTATCAAAAACTGAATGTGTCCCTTTCATCATTGTACGTGAAGGCAAATGGATGGAGAACTGAGTGTAAACAATAGCAAGATTCTATAATTGAAACGGAATCTTAAAAACTTTCTGTATATGCCTAAGCTTATGTTATGTCTACGAGGCGTTGTGTAAACAGACATGATATTCTAAGACGTTTTCGAATTGCGATTTGAATTTAATTTTGCACATAGTTTTGCCTTTCACTAGATTTTTTTTCTTTTATAAATTCCAATAGGTCGTGACCCATAAATTGGTTTAAGGAAATTGTTGTTGTTGTTTATTTACGTGGCACTAGTGCTGTACAATAGGCTATTGGCGACGGTCTGGGAAACATCCCTGAGGATGATCCTAAGACATGCCATCATAATTTTGATCCTCTGTGGAGGACATGGCAACCCCGCTTCGGTAGCCCGACGACCTGCTCGTGAAGTCGAGCACTTTACAGTAGAACAGTTTAACGAGGACCCATACCGCACACGCTCGATCCCTACGAAGACTGATCCAAGGATTCACCCACCCGCACACTGACCGCCAGCCAGTGATACTTGACTTCGGTGATCTTCTGGGAACCGTGTCTTAACGATCAGTCCTCAGCGGAACAGTTTAAGGAAATTAATAACACGACATAAATAAAGTGAAAGGGTTAACTTGTTTTGATAGCTATGTTCAGTTTTTTTATGTTTCAGTTAAAGTTAAACGAAATCACAAATTGAATGATAAATAGCACAAGCCATATTGTAAACAGAACAATAACAATAGACAATAGGATGGCGTGTTCTTTAAGATAAGGTGTAAAATTAAATTGGATGGAGTAACAGTAAGGGCTTACTGAGAATTCTGACCACAAGCGCCTTACGTGCTGAGAATAATATGGCTCTCTGTCCATAGAGATAAAATAAATTTCCTTAAAAATTCATTTAACATGTAATTACCATCTACATATTAATTTGTATAATGGTACCTAAATGGGAGTATGAAAAGGGAATTGAAGTTGATGAAGTTTATTGCTTAAAAACGAACTTACGAAGGGTTGTTTCAGTTTAGACATAATGGCATAAGTCCCAGTTTGTGTGCATTTGCATTTCGTTTCTTCGGCATCACTCTCGGCAATGGAACAGCCATCGTTTGTCCATCCACCACGCTTCTTTGTCCTGCACAGAGCAAATATCATTTATTAGAAGTTTGGGGAGTGGGAGGAATATTGATAATGAGACACTCGATATCCCATCCCAAATGTCACACACTTTACTTTAAGTTTAACGAATTTGAAGGTTTAAATAGCGCACTGCTCTTCTGTTTTTAAGGTAGGTAGGTACTTTATTTACGTCACACTAGAACTGAACAATGGGCTATTAGCTACGATCTGGGAAACATCCATGAGGATGATCCGAAGACATACCATCGGAATTTTTATCCTCTGCAGAGGGGATGGCTACACTGCTTTGGTAGCCCGACGACCTGCACCGAAGTTGAGCACTTTACTGTAGAACAGTTTAACAAAGACTGATACAGCGCATCCTCGGTCCCTATGCAGGTTGGTCAAAGTGGTCACCCACCCTCTTACTGAGAGCAGCCAGTGATGCTTGATTTCGGTGTTCTACTGGGAGCCGTGTCTTTACAATCAGTCCACTGCGGGACTCTGTTTTTAAGAAAACTTCGCGTGATGATACTAGTCTGTTTTAGCACTTTCATTTCACAGCCTGCGCATTCACGCAAAATTATTCTGAGATGTTCTGTAGTTAAACAAGATTGTTCTGTAGTACGACCTGCGCTAAACGCAACTACGTGACAGAGCTACATCTCGCTGAATGAAGTTGGGTCGATGCAGCTTAATGATGAATTAAGTACTATGATGATGATCTAAGAATCGGCTCCAAAGTACAGTACTCTGATCACAATCTATGATTTGAAAACGATCCATCTACATCAATCTAATCGGGATTCGCTATTGGCTAATCAACCCAAACAATACCCAACATTCCTTTTCACATTGTGAATGCGATCCACAATTTGGAAACAAACCTACGATACTCCGATTACTTTCCTCGGAACTCTGATTGCGTCCTGTGATTCAGTCTCAAATCCAGGAACACCAGCAATTTTTTAACGAACCTACGATATTCTGATTACGTCCCATGGAACTTTTTCCCTTGGAACTGATTGCGCCTTGTGGTTGGACTTCGAATCCAGGACACTCCGTTAACTATTCACAATTGCGCAACGAGCGCCTGTCACTTTTTCCCCGATCAGCGATTGGGCATTCAATCCTCGATATTCTGATTTCAATTTTTGGCTTACTGATCACAATTCATGATTGAACAACGAAACCATGACACTCTGATTGTGATACATAATTCAATGACGAACTCATGATATTTTTGGGGATCATAGTGAGTATTGTGCTTGAAGTCGGTGGTCGTAAGATTCACGAATTCTTAGCTTTTGCATCTTCAAAATAGATTTAACATATGATTGCTGATGAACGTACAATTCTGAAGCTTTCGATTTGGATTTCTTTTTGAATGCGACAAATCTTCACAACTCGTGAAAGTGAGGAGAAAATTTTCCCCTCACAAAAGCACGTTGTCAGCCAGTATTGCGAGATATCTTGATCTGAAATACACTTTAAGCCAACGCATTTCTTTCCTCAAAAAGTAGCTTTGGAGTTCTGAAGAAAAAAGACATTTTAATGTATGAATTTTTTTTTATTAAAAAAGCAATAGTATTTAATTTATTTCTTAAATAAATTGTTTGAAATTTGAAAGAACTATTTTTAAAAAACATAAAGAAGCTCACCCTTTTATTTCTAATGTGGAATCCCATCTCATACACTCTCTCTTTCTTATCTGTGAATGCAATCAGTAACAGTTACGTATAACCAGTATTAAATTATCACTGACAACAATAATGCAATTCGAATTTTGATACTGTGTGATAGTGAATTTGAATAAATTATCATAAAACTGCAAAAAGAGGATTCTTAATTTTTATTTTATAAATTACTAAATTAAATGCAGTAACAGTTCCATGTCAGCGTCACAAAATATTAATATAAAAGATACTGTGGCGTAACTACCACTATAAATATTAAACACCAATTTACTAGTACATGGGTGATTCTCACGAAACATGACAATTCACTGTCCCTTGCTCCAAGATCTAATACTATAATACTAAAGGAACTTTTTTTTAGAGAAAATTAATAAATAGCATTGCTGTTAACATTTTAAAATGACTTTGCACTAGCATTGACTGTTTCGTATACTTAAAAAATTTAATTGAATATCAAAATGTCATTTTCTTGGCATGTCCCAAACAATATTTCCAATAATAACTAGCTTCAAAACTTCCCATACATTTTTCAAAATCTAATTTTTTTTAATCTTATTCTATGTAAGCATTTCTAGAATATACGCATAGGGTATTGTTTACTAAAACTTCGTTTAAAATAATTTTTCCTGTCAATAATTTGTTTGTCTCATGAAAACCTGTCATTTTCCTGGATACTTTTACTTAGTGATTTACAACCAAAATAGATAGCGCCAGGAATCAATATCTTACGTTAATAGATTGATTAGATACCCTCCTATCTGAGCATGTCTTGTTGCATGAATAAAGAGCCAATTTTCTGGCTCAAAATCTATTTCAAAAAATTTTTCAAGGTGAGTAGGTTTTTATGCTGTCATTTTCCTGGCTTCTTGAAATCATTAATAACA